AAAAACATTTTCACATGTCTACCAATTTTTGATTAATATCATTGTCAACGACTCTTTACCATAGATCTTGTCTTAACATGTCTACAAGAGTTAATGGCAAGTTATGAGAATGTTGTTGAAGTGTATAAAAGTCACACCAGAATCTGTTGATATGGAAAATTGGATGATTTAATCGAATATCGATCGTTCGCATTAATATCAATGAATGGAAATCACAAGTTTGATATCAGTAATTATTTTTAAAAATCAGGTGATAACATTATTCAATGAAGATAAGCACGATATGATACAAATTGATTGGTTTTAAATTTTTATTGTAATGAAATTCTTGGTTAAATGTGAAATTGAAATCTATAATTAAATATGGGTGCGAATTCTTTTGATTGGCTAATTTTAATTTTCACAAACTTGAATTGCAAATTCACATTGATTTCATTTTCACACACAACTCTAAAGCCTTGGCGTAATGAAGCTTAGATGGTCATGCAAATTCATATAGAATAGCTGATTATGTGAACCAGTTGAAATTGGAATCGTCACATTTAGAAGAGAATATAATGGATGAGCCTTGATAATTGGGCGTGTGCTGACCAAATTTGGAAATTATTATAATTAACAAATTTGTATATGTGGCGTACTCAAGTCGGTGGAAAGATATATGCAGTTTTACTAATATCTACATGTACAAACTTTGAAAAACAGAAACCCGTCGCAGAAAAATAATAATTCGTCATTTTACGCTTTCGCAAATTTCATCATATTTGAAGAACAAAAAAACACGCTTTGTGTATTAAATAAAGATTAACCCGTTTAACTCAATAATAACTGCATATTTATGCGTCTGCCAATCAGAAATTTATATCTTAATACCCACCTCAAAGTTTTAATTATAAACTTCAACATTCATAAGATGACAGATCCTTTTTAAACACTATATTCTTGTATTATTGGTAATAGAAAATAGCACAATATCAATATTCCAATTTCATGAAAAAGTCCAATCTATTCTGAAAGCAAGCATCAAAATATTTACTATTCCCAACATCAAATTATTATTATAAACTTTACTCAATCAGGTAACTTTTTGACATGTCATATTAATATAAAAAACATATAAATAATTGACTCAGATGCAATTAAAAATTGAGATTTTGGAGCTTGAGTCAAAGCCAAACTAATTTTGACAACATGTATAATCTAGATAATATGGAACATGCTACACCTTTGTATTGCAAATAATTTCAGGATGTAAAATTGTTTAACATCACCATTGCATTATTAACAAATATGAAACTAATTCACACCAGATCTGCTACCATCAGCATTACCATCATCGATTCCATCATTATCATCGGGGCTGCATTATTGGACTCATTATCATCGGACTAGTCATCATCATCGGCTTCAACAATTACTCTACCGGTCTCCTCAACAGAACTAATACTAGAATTACATCAAGAATTTAATAAAATTAATGTTTTTCTGAATTCTTGCACATAGCTACAAAACATGATTGCTTTTATAATGTTAACTAGAGTGACGACAAGTGACGATAACCACCATTTTTTTAATAAGCAACTATACTTACTCACGAATAATTTTGTTATTATGGTTAATTGCTTTGCTTCTTTTTTTCCTCCTTTACTTTTTTTTTTAGAATTATTATCTGTTATTTGATTAGTATTGTTGTACAAGAAGTTCTAGCACTTGGATTAATATTAACATAAAAATTATCATAGCTTTTTGACCAAGTGGAAATTACTAATGACTATTATCTACTATTAGTAACTAGTTAACTAATTAATTGACATTTCAGAGCTTTGCTCATAAGAGTAGAGGCAGAAAATTGTTAATTAATTCATTTTGTAACAAACATTTTTACAAATTAATTATTTAAACAGCAGGTCTAATTGTTTATTGGTTATCAGAGTGATATAGAACTAGAGTTTTTATTCGTAATACAGATTCTTATTCGAATATAAAACTCTGAGATTTTGTAACTCGGTTTTAGTTATTTGCTTTGGTAGAAAGCAAAGGTTTAATTTTTGGTTTTTGTTAAGCGCAAACGTTTTAAATGTTTTTGTGTAAGGTGTTAAGATTGTTCGGCCAGATAAAAAATGCTGATATTTATTAACTAAAGTATTTATACATACCACTTTGTTGTATTGTGTTAAAGTATTTTGCAGACGTACGGCTGACCAAAGAAAAGTTAAAGGAATTTCACTAAAACATTCGTTGCTTTATAATAGAGATATGTTTCATTTGTTGACATTATGACCTAATTACAATATTATGGCCTAATTACGACATTACGGCTTTTAATTGCGGCTATCACTCAGATGTTGTAATATTATGACATTCATAAATCAATTTGGGCTACATATATACACCGAACCCTCTAGATTCCCCTGTTGAAAGTTTGAACATCATGTTTTGAGACATTGATCCTTAGATTTTGGGTGCAGATGGAAGATTATAAAATTACTAAATCATAATAGTAATCACATTCATTTTGTCTGGTCAGTATTCCATATTATATATTGACAATATTGACCAATTGATTGATCGTATCAAATATATTCTATCATTTGGTCTACAACCAACATCTAGAACTTTGAGATTTATTTTAACGAAATGCACAGTGTCTAACAGAAATGGTCAGCTGAACGATAGTATGAAAACAGTTTCAAGATTTGGAAGTGAAGTAGTAGATTTTAAATATTTTGATTTTTGATCAAGTGGACCTTTTGTGATTATCAATTAATGATAGGTAGGATCTTTAAACTTTGGAAATGTTGGTATTAAAGATCCAAATTAATTTATTCAGTGGTTTTATAATCAATAATTGACACAATTAAATTATAAATTGGTGAAGCAACAATCAGACTTTTAATTTATTTTGTGCTTTAATTAATTGAATGCATTCTTCCATTGCAAAACTTATTATCATTAGTCAATCAGAATTTTGTATCCAAGCACTTCACCCAGAATTTTGATACAAATGTAAACGTGATAAGTCGGTTACTTTGAGTAATTGATTGCTGTGTCCGATTTATCGAGTTTACGTTTACATGTGTTTATTTTAATTTTTAATTACACCAAGTTTTTATTGTAACATATAATTCATATAAAATTTATTACCATTTAAAGTCAATATATGACGATCTCGTGTAATGTAAGGCCATTTCTCGGTTTAACCCGAAGCGTTCGCTTACATAATAATAACAAAGAAATTGGGTATACACTCGAACATTTCTACAGCGGGTCATTCGCATTATAACGGATTTAAAATTTTTGCTTCATTATCATATTAATATTCATATCACATAAAATCCGTTATGACAAAATTAGTAATTAATGTTAATATTATAATTAAATGAAATTTTCTTATGTACCTCGCTCGCCCCATCTCAATGTTTGTTTGAAATAATAAACTAGTGTTATTTAGGATAATTTTCACAACTATTTTTGGTTAGTAGAAAGTAACTATGTACTATGCATAAAATGAAAGATTTCATATGTTTAAAAAAATCATTTACTATTATTATTCCGATGATTTATTTTAATTTATCCATATTAATAATAACAATAATAACAATAATGCAATCCGGAAAGGGAAAGTGTTGCTTATTAATATTAATATTAAAAAATTCCTGCAATTTTCCGGTAAATTTTTTCGGAATTATGGATAATGATGTTGCTTATTATTATTATTATTATTATTATTATTATTATTATTATTATTATTATCGTGTAGTTAGTTATCCGCAAATTTCGTGAAACCTCGGAATATCCAATTTTTATTGGTGGGTTGGGTGCGTATTATCCTTATTTAGAAATCGATTTGACGATTGCGGATATTTTTTGTGGATAACTACATGATAATAAGTTGCTTCAAACTCCTAAATAAACAAGATAAAGCAATGAGGCAATCATCGAAAGAAATTATTCTTTAGAAGAAAGTTTATTACATACAGCGTTGGAAATTGAGGCCCAAACGGTCCAGCCCAATAAATAAATTGAATAGCCAATGATATTTCAGCATTCACGATTACAAATAAAATATTTTATATTTTTAAACATTATAATATGTTTATAATAAATCATCAATTTTCAATTAACCTACTAATTCACTTAATTCCTCATCCTCCTCTTCTTCTAATTACTCAATCATCAGTATTTCCGTCCACCGATACATTGCTTGCATTCCATTGAATCTGGTTTTCGTTTCTAATGTCTTTTATAAAAGATTCGCCATTACTTATTTCACTTTCTTGTCTTCAATTGAAGCAGCGTAATTTCAGAATGGAATTTTCTTCATGATTCATCAACTCCAGTTTGTCACTTCAATTTTTAAAAACTGATGATATTTCTAAGTTAAGTAAAGGAATTTCCAAATTAGGCTACTATTTATGGTCATCCGACAAGGACAAAGTTTGGGTTTCACTCTCAAGTAAAAAAATCTTTTCCTTTTTTTTTGGTATGTGTAACTTGGGAATATCATCAAAGCAAGCACTTGGGTTTACACCTTAGTGGTTTGAGGTTTATACTCAAGTTACCCTATATAAAGGATCCATGTTTTAAATATATAAGCTTTGACATTTATCATATATACTGCGTTTGGGAGATACATACCAAATTAAATCCCAATAGTCAGTAGATAGCTTTATTTAAAATGATGATTTGATTTTTTCAAATCTCTTTCCTATCTTGCTGAATAACCCTTTTTGAAAAGGCTATTTTTATTGGATATGTAATTGTGAGTCCCACTATACAACAGAGTCCAACCGAACCAATTGCTACTTTTTTTTTACTACGCTAATTGGAATCCAATATGTAAATTGCCACATTTAGAAATTTTTGGTACAGAAAAATTACGATATTAGAACGATGATTTATCCATTGTGGCGCCCGCAGCTCTAACAGAATTCACAAGTCCTCAATTGGATGTACAACTAATCCTGTTGATATAATTCAAATCGACCGTAATTGTCAATTTGTCAATCGGTATAAGAATATGGACGGATAGCTCTATTGAACCTGACACCTAAGTTCAATATATCTAATTAATATTTTTTGGAAATTATTCTACAAGCTTGCAGTTGCACACAATCAGGGTGTAAAACTCAGAGGACCAACCACTGAAGCTTTTTCACCACTACCACTTGAATGACAAGGTGTGGGAGGATCAGATTGATTGATCTTTTAAAATTTCATAAAAATAAATAACAATTGTTTCATTATGTTGGAGGTCAAAAAGGAAGGTTGTAAATTCGTGATGGACAAGTAATTCAGTAGGTTTTCAATATCGAGAAATGGTGTGTTAAATACAGAAAACATATGAAAAACATACGAAGCATTAATGTAGTAATAGAACTTGTGTTTTCCATACAAAACAACAAAACATACTAATATTAATATTAATTATATATAATACGGGAAATATACTCTTCTCCGTAAAAGTTTTTTATAGGGCATAGCAATTAATAACATTAGAAGTCTTTACAAAGCTTTTAATGTTGAAAAAAGTTAAGTGATGTACACAATGTAATAATATTTCTTTATCAACAGAACTTGTTTGATCATTCGTTATTGTTGAAGTGAAACCCTTACACAGGTAAAGTTGATAAGTCGTACATGAGTGGCTGGGTGTTTTGACTTATCAAAATATGAGATTTATAAAACAACAAAAAAAAAGAAAGGTCATAATAATATTATTATTTAATATAAGTCGGTCTGCTCAATCAATTATTTAAAGGATTTGATATGGCACGTTACCTATAAAACATCCAATTGCTGCGCCACTATCCGAAATCAAAAAATGAAAATCACATGACCAACTTAAATATTTTATTTTTTAAAAACTTGTTCACAAACTTAAAAAAAACTGTAAAAATGCCTTACCCATCCAAATATAAAAAGCCAATTAACGAGTGCGAGAGCATAAATTGGAAAAAGAGCATGTTCTATATAAACATTTAATAAACGTTTCGTATCACGTGATCTGTGTTGATTTTGCCATGAATTACCCTTCTTATTTTCTTATTTGTTATGAATCATACTTTGATTCAATTTGATTTGAACCTATAAATAATTTAATCTAGTATTTATTATTTAAATTTAAAACAGCGAATTGTGATACTGTAAATTACATTACTTTTTTGTTAATGTTAATAATATGTAGAGTTTCTATTCATAATACAAATTCTCATTTGAATCATTTGAATTCAAATAAACATTCAAATGCATTTCGAATACTCAAATTCATAATGATTAAAACAATCATTCAAATAAACTTATTCAAATAAAACCCTATTAATATGATATTAATATGATATTTAGAACGAATTGAATTGAACCAGTTTAAAACTTGGCTCGATTCAATTCGTAAATGTATGATAATTAATGTATAATAGTAATGTTGAGTAGTTTAAAAAGAGAAAATCATAAAGGTCCCAAGAACAAATACAAACAAGAATAGAAGATTATTGAATTATGCCAAATCGGGTAATGGGGTATCATAAATATCAGGTTCTGATGTTTGACCGGTGTTCTTTAAAAACAATTAAAGTATTGATTGGCGTACTGATAAGTTAATATTCTTAGTATTTTTATCATATAGTCTAAAAGCCTATTAGTAAAGTAAATATCAAAAGTGCATTCACCAGATATTCTTTTAAAATTAATCCTATTTTTTTAATAAAATATTGTTAACTATCAGCTTAATTTAATAAACTGATAGCTCTTTTATATTGTAATTTAGGTTATTGGTTAAATTTTTATTGACTTATCAGCTACATATTGATCAATCTAAATTGCAATACTAAAATAATATAATATCATAATCTTTGAGTAGTAGCTATATTTATTTTATTGAAATAGAAAAGAAGCTTAATTTATTAAATTCCAATTGCATAATTGATAGGTCAATAGTTATGATACTAAATTTTATTTATGTATGAATATTTTGATTAATAGGAATTATAGCCATGCATTCTCTTGGTTTTCTTTTACCAGCAACAAACATTCTGATACAACTCCATCAAGCTCATAAAATTCTTTTTTCCGACATTCTATTCTATATTGCTTTGACCTATAAATGTTCTTATTACGACGAAATCAAAAGTTTAATCAAATGATTATTGTTATATAATCGAAATTTATTGAAACTAAAAATTTAATCAAATGATTATTGTTATATAATCGAAATTTATTGAAACCAAAAGTTTAATCAAAGTTTAAATCAGAATTCTATAAATAAAATTTTTCTATTGCAAAATAATTATTTCAACTAAAATATATTGTGGAATTGTGTCCGAGTCGCAAAAGATAATAATAATTTATGTTAAGTGTAATAATAATAATTTCCGTGAATATATGGCTAGGGGAGGCATCTCAAGGGAAAATATGGCTCACGTTTAGAAGGAGAACATTTGTGTATCAAAAAAATTACTTGACAAGAAGCAACAAAGTAAAAAAAAAAAAAACAATAATCTCTTCGAATATATATTTATGCTTTACTTTTGAAACTATCTTTCACTAAACAATTCTCTCTCTAGGTTTCACTCTAATCTGTAGAGCCACTCCCTAGTTAATAAAACCTCTCTAAAAAAGAATAAAGAAAAAATATAAAATTAGGAAAAATAATCATACATGGGATTAGCATTAAGACCACCTTTATTGCTTCAGGATTATTTCCATTGCTAAAGATAGGATTATTGTTATTATAAAAATATATGATAACAAAGACTAAGACAAAAAAATCAAAGACAACGACAATGACAAGAAAAAAATATGAAGTTAAGAAAATTACAATGTATTTATATGTTCTAGATCCGGTCTTTTAATATTTCTTAAAAATATCTGGACCTTCTTTTTAAGAATAATTCTAAACTCTTTTTAAAGTGAACGAATGATTTAAATTTCCTCTTTTAAATAGAATTTTAGAATTAAATAAATGAATGTTAGAATGTTAGAATTTATTTCACGTTGATTGAGTAACATACAAACCGGAAATAGAAGAAGTGGACGAATCAAGCACGGCAGCTCAAGCAAGGACTGATGTTATACTTTGAGAGAAGACCAAGGGAATTGGGGAAGATGAAGAGGAGGAAGAAAAAAAATTAAAATTTTATTGTATTTTTCCGTATATACAATAAAATATATCAAAATTTCAAGTGTGGTTAAATGGAAAAACTATGTTATTTATTGTTTTCTTTTCTTTTCAATTGAACTTTTTGAAATTTCCCAAAAATAGCAACACTATTTTTAATTTTTTTGTGAACTCTCTTTAATTAGCATCTATAACATATTATATCAAAAATTTCAAGTGTGGTTAAATATTGAACATAGTAAGAAAAGACTGATGATAATGTTTTTCTAATGAAATCTTTTGAATAATTGCTCATTATAATAATTATTTTTCAAATTTTGTTTAGCCGAACAAGATATTGTTTCAATGATATTTAATTGGTACATGTTTTTTATGTCAAATGCAAAGTAGAACAAAGTTTTCTAGATTGTGATTTGTGAATTGAAAAAAAAAACCTGTTAAAAAAAACAAAAAAATAATTTTCATTCAAGAAAATTTGATCTAACCTCAAATACTTTAAAAGAGCAACAAATACTTTTATTGAAAGAAAAAAATAGATAT